ACCCCATTGAGAAACTGTGGTCCATCATCAAATGTGAGATTTACAAGGAGGGAAAACAGTACACCTCTCTGAACAGTGTCTGGGAGGCTGTGGTTGCTGCTGCACGCAATGTTGATGGTGAACAGATCAAAACACTGACAGAATCCATGGATGGCAGGCTTTTGAGTGTCCTTGCAAAGAAAGGTGGCTATATTGGTCACTGATTTGTTTTTGTTTTGTTTTTGAATGTCAGAAATGTATATTTGTGAATGTTGAGATGTTATATTGGTTTCACTGGTAATAATAAATAATTGAAATGGGTATATATTTGTTTTTTGTTAAGTTGCCTAATAATTATGCACAGTAATAGTCACCTGCACACACAGATATCCCCCTAACATAGCTAAAACTAAAAACAAACTAAAAACTACTTCCAAAAATATTCAGCTTTGATATTAATGAGTTTTTTGGGTTCATTGAGAACATGGTTGTTGTTCAATAATAAAATTAATCCTCAAAAATACAACTTGCCTAATAATTCTGCACTCCCTGTATATTATATGATAGAAGTGATGTCATGCAATATCCCATTATTGGAGAGTAATATATAATAATATAGTAATGTGCCATTGTGTATTTGTTGTTTATTACATTGGTTTGTCTTTATTTGGTTACTGCTTGGTTTCAGTGTGAGGGCTCTGGTGGGGAAGGGGTTAAGGATGCTGGGACAGGTAAGATGGAGGATGCCAGTTGTCCGGTCCATTGCTATAGCAACCAGCAGGCGCTAGGGATGTGAGAGGTGGGCGGGGCTAATGCGGTCTCCATGGTAATTTTGACAGGGCGAAGTGCGTGTCCGTCAGCCAGCTCGGCAGCTGATTGGAGGAGCTGTCTGGTGGTGGGCGGGGTGTGTTAGATGTCGGTGGGCGGGACTTGCTGCCCATCTTCCGGTTCCGTGTATGAGGTCAAAGCCAGGCCGGAGAGCGAAGGGAAATGGAATGAAATCCGGGGGGAAACCGTGAGTTCGGCCACCGAGAGCACAGAGGCCGGAGTGCGGCTCGGAGACACAGTGCCGGCCGGCGGGAGAGAGGTGAGGGCAGCCGCCATGTCTGTCACCGGGCAGGTTACATCATGTTCTCCATGGAGACACCTCCATCACCCGGAGGGACATTCCCCATCTAATAATAATATCACCCCATATAATAATATCACCCCATATAATAATATCACCCCATATAATAATATCACCCCATATAATATCACCCCATGTAATATCACCCCACATAATATCACCCCGTGTAATAATATCACCCCACATAATATCACCCCGTGTAATAATATCACCCCACATAATAATATCACCCCACATAATATCACCCCACGTAATAATATCACCCCACGTAATAATATCACCCCACGTAATAATATCACCCCACGTAATAATATCACCCCACGTAATAATATCACCCCACGTAATAATAATATCACCCCACGTAATAATAATATCACCCCACGTAATAATAATATCACCCCACGTAATAATAATATCACCCCGTGTAATAATAATATCACCCCGTGTAATAATAATATCACCCCGTGTAATAATAATATCACCCCATATATCACCCCATATATCACCCCATATATCACCCCATATATCACCCCGTGTAATAATTATATCACCCCGTGTAATAATTATATCACCCCGTGTAATATCACCGTCACCCCATGTAATATCACCCTATATAATATCAATATCAGCCCATATAATATAATTACACCCCACATAGTATCACCCTATATGATATCAATATCACCCTATATAATATCACCCCATGTAATATTCTAATATATAATATCAATATCACCCCATGTAATATACTGCCTGCCATTCCCCGTGTGGGATACTGACACCCCATGTAATATCACCCTATATAATATACTGACACCCCATGCAATATCACCGTATATAATATACTGACACCCCATGTATTATCAGTTTCACCCCATGTAATATACTGACACCCCATGTAATATCACCGTATATAATATACTGACACCCCATGTAATATCAGTATCACCCCATGTAATATACTGATACCTCATGTAATATCACCCTATATAATATACTGACACTCCTTGTAATGTCACCCCATATAATATCACCCCGTGTAATATCAATGTCACCCCATATAATATCACCCCGTGTAATATCAATATCACCCCATATACTATCACCCCGTGTAATATCAATATCACCCCGTGTAATATCACCCCATGTAATATCAATATCACCCCATGTAATATCAATATCACCCCGTGTAATATCACCCCGTGTAATATCACCCCGTGTAATATCACCCCATGTAATATCAATATCAATATCACCCCGTGTAATATCACCCCGTGTAATATCAATATCACCCCGTGTAATATCCCTACACCCCGTGTAATATACCTACACCCCATGTAATATACCTACACCCCATGTAATATCACCCTATATAATATACTGACACCCCGTGTAATATCACCCTATGTAATATACTGACTGCCCCTCCATCACCCTGAGTGCCATTCCCCATGTAATATCACCCTGTATAATATACTGACACCCTGTGTAAGATGTACTGACACCCTATATAATATACAGACACCCCGTGTAATATCACCCTATATAATATACAGACACCCCGTGTAATATCACCCTATATAAGATACTGATACCCCATGTAATATATACTGACACCCTATATAATATACAGACACCCCGTGTATTATTATTATTATTATTATTATTATTATTATTATTATTATTATTATTGCCATTTATATAGCGCCAACAGATTCCGTAGCGCTTTACAATATTATGAGAGGGGGATTTAACTATAAATAGGACAATTACAAATAAACTTACAGGAACAATAGGTTGAAGAGGACCCTGCCCAATCGAGCTTACATTCTATAGGAGGTGGGGTGTAAAACACATTAGGACAGGAATTTGCAATCAAATAAGGTGGGCTGCCCTTTAGGAGAGGGCAAGAGATGGGTATGTGAGGTAGGGGTTAGTCTTGGAGGCCATAAGCTTTCCTAAAGAGATGGGTTTTAAGGCACTTCTTAAAAGATGCAAGACTAGGGGAGAGTCTGATGGCGGGAGGCAGGCTATTCCATAGGAAGGGAGCCACCCGCGAGAAGTCCTGCAAGCGCGAGTTGGCCGTACGGGTGCAGACAACGGACAGGAGGTGGTCACGGGCAGAGCGGAGAGACCGAGAAGGGACATACCTGTGGATCTGTGAGGAGATATGAGGGGCTAGAGTTGTTCAGTGCTTTATAGGTGTGAGTTAGTGCCTTGAATTGACTCCTATAGCACACAGGAAGCCAATGTAAGGACTGGCAGAGGGGTGAGGTGTGAGAGAACCGACTAGAGAGGAAAATCAGTCTAGCAGCAGCGTTCATTACAGACTGTAGGGGTGCAGTACGGCTTTTGGGAAGACCAAGCAGGAGAGGGTTAAAATAATCCATGCGTGAAATTATTAGAGCATGGACAAGCTCCTTGGTAGTATCTGGTGCAAGAAAGGGGCGGATGCGGGCTATGTTTTTAAGATGGAATCTACAGGATTTGGCAACATGCTGGATGTGAGGCTCAAAGGTGAGACCAGAGTCAAGTATGACGCCAAGACAGCGTGCTTGCAAGGATGGGCTGATGTTGGTACCACAAACTTGAAGGGAGAGCGAAAGAGGAGGATCAGTATTAGGAGGAGGAGGAAAGACAAGGAGCTCAGTTTTTGAGAGATTGAGTTTCAGAAAGCGGGAGGACATCCAGTCAGAGATGGAAGAAAGGCAAGCAGTGACACGTTGCTGGACAGCAGGGGAGAGGTCTGGGGAGGAGAGATATAGCTGGGTGTCATCAGCGTACAGGTGTTAGTGGAATCCAAATGAGGTAATAAGTTTGCCAAGAGAGGCAGTATAAAGAGAAAATAGGAAGAGACCAAGGACGGAGCCTTGGGGGACTCCAACCGAGACAGGGTGAGGGGAGGAGGTATCATTAGAAAAAGAGACACCGAATGAGCTTTGGGAGAGATAAGAGGAAAACCACGAGAGGACAGAGTCACAGAGACCAAGCGATTGCAGAGTTTGGAGAAGGAGAGCATGATCAACGGTGTCAAAGGCCGCTGAGAGGTCAAGAAGAATTAGTATGGAGTAGTGGCCTTTGGATTTAGCTGTGATTAGGTCGTTAGTAACTTTGATAAGGGCAGTCTCTGTAGAGTGGAGAGGGCGGAAGCCAGATTGAAGGGGGTCAAGGAGAGAGTTGGAATTGAGGAAATGAGACACACGGGTAAAGACGAGTCTTTCCAGAAGCTTTGAGGAAAAAGGGAGCAGGGATATAGGACGATAGTTAGAGGGGGTGGACGGGTTGAAGGATGCTTTTTTTTAGTATAGGTACTACAGTGGCATGTTTAAGGTCAGGAGGGACGATGCCAGAAGAGAGCGAGCAGTTGAAGATGTGTGTTAGAGAAGGCACGAGACAAGTGGAGAGAGATCTGATAAGGTGAGATGGGACCGGATCGAGTGGGCAAGTGGTGGGGCGAGAGGAGCAAAGAAGAGCAACCACCTCTTGGTCAGTGGCTGGGGAGAATGTCTGAAGGGTAGGAAAGGCATGATCAATGTGTGCTTGAGAAACAGAAAGGCAAGGAGGGGAGAATTCTTTCCTTAGCTGTTCAATTTTGTCAGTGAAGTAACATGCAAAGTTATCAGCAGTAAGGTTGGTTTGGGGGGTGGCCACAGCGGGCCGAAGAAGAGAATTAAAGGTGTCAAAGAGACGCCTGGGGTTGCGGGAACATGAACTAATGAGAGAGGAAAAATAGGACTGTTTGGCAAGGGCAAGGGCTGCACTGTATGAACACAGTATGAATCTATAATGGAGAAAGTCTGACTGGGTGCGAGACTTCCTCCAGGAGCGTTCAGCACACCTTCTACCCATAGGCGTGCGCAGCCTATTGCATTTGGGTGTGCACCCTAAAGCACAAACACACGCCGCGTGTGTGTGTGTGTGTGGATATATCTATCTATATATCTATATATATATATATATCCATATATATATATATAGATAGATATATCCACACACACACACTGCTGTGTGTGCTGTTAGTGTGCTGTTAGTGTGATGTGTGTGTGAGGGTGCTGTTAGTGTGATGTGAGGGTGTTTGTGTGTTTGTGACTGTGCTGTTTGTCCTGTGAGGGTGCTGTTTGTGTGAGTGTCGTGTATTTGTGAGGGTGCTGTTTGTGTGTGTGTGTGTGTTTGTGAGGGTGCTGTTAGTGTGCTGTGTGTGAGGGTGTTGTGTTTTTTTTAAAGGTGTTGTGTGTGTTTGTGAGGGTGCGGTTAGTGTACTGTGTGTGTGAGCTGTATGTGTGTAGGTGCTGTATGTGTGTGTGTTGTATGTTTGGAGGGATTTGGCAGATTAGTAAATCCTTGCTGCCATGTGCCATCCCTGGTGGTCCAGTGGAGAGTGAACTCTAGCCTGCGGGGCTAGAGTTAACTCTCGCGAGATCTGAGCGTTGCCGCAGCAACGCTCAGATATCACGAGAGGAACCTGGCGGAGCTTCTGTCTAGAGCTCCCTGGGTCCTCTACTGCCTCCCTCCATGCTGCTGTGGGCCGGTGAGGTAGATCTTTGGTCTCCCTGCCGGCCCATGGAGGCTTAAAGCAGAGCCGGCACTCAGATAGCGCCGGCTCTGCGTGTGTGTGTGTGTATATATATATATATATATATATATATATATACATATATATATATATGCATACACACACACACTCACAGACACATTCAGACACACACACATACACTCACAGACACATTCAGACACACACACACATACACTCACAGACACACACATTCACAGACACACACTCACACAGACACACACATACACTGACTGACACACACACACATACATTCACAGACACACACTCACTGACACACCCACAGACACACACCCACAGACACACACACACCGACACACACACAGACACACACAGACACACAAACACTCCACTGACACACCCACCACACACAGACACACACACACACCACACCGATACACCCCACCACACAGACACACACCTCACACACAGACACACACCACCTACACACACAGACACACACACACCCACACACAGACACACACACACACACTCACTGACACACCCACCCACCACACAGACACACACACCACTGACACACCCACCACACCCGACACACACACCACCTCACACCAGACACTCCACCACACTGACACACACACCACACACACAGACACACACACACTCACACACAGACACACACACACACTCACTGACACACTCACTCACACAGACACACACACACACTCACACAGACACACACACTCACTGACACACTCACTCACACAGACACACACACACTCACTCACACAGACACACTCACACATAAGAACAAATTATTACATTTTAATTAAAAAAAAATGTCCACCCAGCCTCCTACCTGGAGTGCTGGCGTGGACTTGTCCCTGGGGTCCAGTGGGGCGGGCGCCTCTCTCCAGCTCAGCCGCGGCGAGGGAGCTGTGTGATGTCTGCGCTCTGCTTCCTCTCCCCGCGCGGGCTGTCTGCTGTAGCTGGGAGCCGGAATATGACGTCATATTCCGGCTTCCGGCATCAGCGTGCGGCGAGAGGAAGCAGAGCGCAGACAGCAGAGAGCTCCCTCGCCGCGGCTGAGCTGGAGAGAGGGGGGGGGATCGATCACCTCTTGCCCTCCCATGACAGGGGCAAGAGGTGAGACAGGGGGTGCTGAGTGTCTGCAGGAACAGCGTTCCTGCTCAAAAAAGTGCAGGGACGCTGTTCCTGCAGGACTCAAACCATAGGCGTGCCACGGGGATTAGGGTGTGCCCAGGCACACCCGGCACACCCCGTGCGCACGCCTATGCTTCTACCCCATAGAAGTGTTGCCTTGGTGTGCTCTTGGACTCTGACCTTTCTTTCGCTCCTTGCACAAAATCTGTCAACCTGCTGCTTTCATTTTTTTTACATTTTTTTTTATCCCTTTCTCATTCCTCATGCAATGAAGACACTTGTCCATGCTCTCATTTCCCACCGTGATTATTGTAACCGTCTGCTTTTTGGCCTGAAAAGTACCCAGATTTTCCCTCTACAGTCTTTACTGAATGCCTCTGCCAGGCACACCTACTTTACATCCAGCAACTCTCACACTTTATTCATTTGTTAACCTCTACACTGACTTCCTATTTTTATTTAGGACTTGGTTCAAAGTTCTTGTGCTTGCTTACAAATCTCTCCACAACCATGCCCCTCCTTACATCTCCTCTCTCATTAGCAGATATGCTACAGCCTGGCCTATTCACACGACTGAAGACCTTTTACTGTCTCATTCTCACACCCACACCTCAGACTCTTGCCTGCAGGAATTCTCCAGTAATGCCTTCCCACGTGAACTCTGATTCTCCCTGTCTCTGCAGTCCTTCAAAATATCCCCTAAAACACACTTCTGGATCGATTGTCTTGACTTAAAGGCACAAAGACTGTCCTGTTTTACTTCACCTCGTAATATCTAATGGAAGCGGTTACGAAGATAAAGTGTGAATACATTTAAGCTATACCTATGCTGCACTTAAAAAAAAAAAACGTTTTATTTAATGACAAGCGGATAAAATGAACACATTGTCAGTAGTACGACTTATGCTAGCCAAAAGGTAATTTTACAATAAAAAGAACTTGCATATCACAAAATGTCATGTTACACCTGGTGCCTTTTACGCTGACCCTATACAGCACATATTTAGTCCTCGGGTTACCCATTGTTAATCCAGTAGCACCCATTTTACTCTTCCACGTTCCTTTTTACTCCTGGTGGATATTTCTTTCCTTCTTGTAGTTCCAAACTTTATTAGATACTAGATATGATATTTTAATCATGTTTGTGGTATCCTTTATACATCAGTAAGTTCTGCAAATATGTCTAAGGTATCAACATAGATGAAACCACTTTAGCAGACAGACCTGAGGGCTTCAGGTACAAATGCTTGGGCCAGATTTATTGAATCAATATAGAATGAAACTACATTTCATAATGGCAACGGATTGCAGCAATGTCTTCAAAGGCTTCTCTATTGATTGTGTTCAAGACTGTGCTGTATATTTTGAAGAACACAGCTCTGTATGAATCAGTTTAAACTCATTAACTCAGTTTAAAGGTCTTTTTGTTTGCTCATTTATAAACTGCTGCATTATATTATCTATAATAAATTTATGTCACAGTAAAAATCAAGACAATCTGATACACTGTGTGAATAGAATAGCAATACAGATTAGAACATAAAGTGTTACAAATTGGGTCATTAGTTCTTAAATTTGATTTTCTAACGATAAAGGTGTTTTTTGTTCTACTGTGCTGAATATGAGACATTTCGTAACTAATTATTGCATTTGAAGGATAATTACTTCATGTTTAGTTCTCAAACCACACCCAGGACTATTGAAAATATTGTTAACATTTTTCATTTTTTTTGTAGGCCTAAAAAATTCCAACATATAGTCATGTGACAAAAGCAACAAGGTCCAGTTGAATATAATGTTGATGAAATGGCCATGTCATCTTGGGCAATCTGTAAATATCTGTGCACTATCCCAAATTCCTATGCACATTTAAATAACAGTATTGAGGCTGACCTTAGAGTAGTCAAAGAAACAAAAATCAAATATTGTAACACGCTAATCTATAGTTAACTCAGTAGCTTAATAACCACTGGGAGCTATTCTCGGTGTAGGAGCCTATGTGAAGAATATATTTAAATATAATAGTTAAACTAGCATGCCTATCACAAGATTTATTAATAGCAGCAAACAGAATGTCTGCTTGGTAGGCTGGAGTGGCCTGGGACAAATGCCTCTAAGGGTTGGATCTCATGTGGACCAATCTGGCTATTACAATTAAGGGAACCTGGTGCACATAAGAAAACAAAACTATAAAGATAAAAAACAATTATAACAATGAAAATGAAAATGGGAGGCATTAACCACTGGCTATGCAGTCAGACAGTTCTTGGTAACAGTGGTGAGTAATGCAAGTCCCATGGCCGTTCGTGTCAGTCAGCCGATGCCCACCCTGGAGGCCTGAGCTGCCAGCCTAGTGTGGAGGTGTAGCTTCAGCTGTATGCTTTTATGCAGTGGGTCTGCCAGTGGGTATATAAAATCAGCTTTCAGTCCTCTGCTGGAGGTGTTAGGCCAGGGCAAACTTCCATGGCTTTCCCTCCAGACTGTGTTTTGAGGGTGTCTGGGTTCTTCCTTTGTAGGAGGCAATGTAAGGCCCTCTGTCTGTGTCATGTATTCAATCTCCGACTGTAGTTTCTCGTGGCCTTTTGTCTGTGGGGACTTTGTTGTTTCTCTGCCCCGGAGGGTGTGCATGTTTGTGTGCTGCAGCATGGGAAACCACCATGACCAGCAGAGGCCTCTCCAGCACCTCTGAGCCTCCTGTGCTGACTGGGCAGCTGGTGTCATCATTCTTGAGCGGGCCTCTAGTTTTACCCAGAAAAGCTCGAAGATAGCATCCAGTGTTGCTATGGGTTGGAGAGGTACGCAGGGCCAGACCATGTGCGTCAGCCATCTTTCAGAGCCTTGCTTCAGGTCAGGAGTG